TACTATGTGTTTCACCAAGATCACATGCTAACAGATGCCTTCTCACTCAATTCCTCAGTATAGTGTTGTGATAAATAAGATAACATCTTCAAAAAAATTTAACACAAATTCCCAAAGCTATACAATTTCAGTTAGCTGTTCAATAAGCATGTTATCAGTTTGTTTTTTTTTTAGGCAGAAAAAATTGTAAAACCCTTCAAAGCCTAATGATAAAGCTTGGTGTAATGGTCTATTAAATTAAACTCTTGATCTATTAAGTAAAGTCTTAAGAGAAAGTATGAATGCCCTGGGCCTCTTCCCAACCTCTCATCTTACTCAAGATAAGGAAAACTGACAAACCATCATGTTGATTTCATTTCTGTGACCCTTCTTAAAACATCCTACCTCTGGGATTTTTGAAGGAATTAAAAAAAAATCAGTTTTGCAAGATGACGAGCTCTGGAGATTGGCTGCACAGCAATATGAAGGTACTTAACACTACTGAACTATACACCTAAAAATCGTAAAGAAGGGAAATTTATGTTAGCTGTACTTTACCGCAACTAAAACAAAAACAAAACAGTCTCATCAAATTAATCTTTTACTTTCTCAATCTTACAGCCTTGTCAGAAGCTTCAGAGTCATTTAACCAATCAACTTTCGCTTTTTAGTTAAATTGTTTTCTAATGTTTGGGGCCAATTTTACTCTTCTTTTTTTTTCCCCTCCTGTGAGGAAGATTGGCTCTGAGTTAACATCTGTTGCCAACCTTCCTTTTTTTGCTTGAGAAAAACTCTCCCTGAGCTAACATCTGTGCCAATCTTCCTCTATTTTGTATGTGGGATGTCACCACAGCACAGCTTGATGAGTGGTGTGCAGGTCTGCACCCGGGATCCGAACCTGCAAACCCCGGGCCACTGAAGCGGAACTTTACTATGCCGCTGGGCTGGCCCCCTATACTCTTTTGTTTAAATGTGTTTTATACATGAGTCTACTTCCAAGAAACATAAATCCCTGTTCTCTCTTAGTGTCCTAGAAATTCAATTAACTACATAAGAGCTACGGTTGATTCCCAACCAATACAGCACAGCATTAGTGTGTAACGCTCTCAATGCATACTCGTCGAATTAAACGAATAACTGTGAACTTTGGCTTACCACTGTTAGATAACTGTGTGTTGGAGAAAGCCAATAATGTAACTTGGAGAGCTAGCTAACCTAACTGTGTGCCTTTGTGCAGATCTGGCTGCCTCAGTTTCCTTACTTGTAAATGGGGGAGCTGAACAGATGTCTACAGGCTATGTGATTCTGAGATTATAACTTCTGAGAAACTTGCTCCAGGAGAACCCCTACATTCACTAGTCCCTTTGCCCTGTATGATTTTTCTTCAGTTTATCTTTGTCTGCCTTCACCACTAGAAGGCAAGCTTCAGGAGGGCAAGCACTTGGTCTCACTGCTGTAGCCCCTGTGCTGAAAACAGGGCCTGGGAATAGTCAGAGCTGCCACACACACATACTCTCTAAAACGTCTCAGCAACAAGAAATTTCTTGTTTAAAAAAATAAATATTCATTTTACCGTAGAGTAATATTTTGAAAAATTAGCAGGAATCAATAGGATCATTGAATAAGTTCTTAATTATTAGCAAGAACAAGTGTTCAACTAAGTTACTGGTACACAATATCTAAAATCCTTGATTGTTATTATTATTATTGTTACTATTATTATTATTATTATTTAGTGACTCTATTTTGAAAGAAATACAACTCAAAAAATAAAAAGCGGGCTGGCCCCGTGGCTTAGCGGTTAAGTACGCGCGCTCTGCTGCTGGCGGCCAGGGTTCGGATCCCAGGTGCGCACCAACGCACTGCTTGTCTGGCCATGCTGAGGCCGCGTCCCACATACAGCAACTAGAAGGATGTGCAGCTATGATATACAACTATCTACGGGGCTTTGGGGGAAAAAAATAAATAAAATTATTTTTAAAAAAAACTACAAAAAAAAAAAAGCCTTTATATTATGGTCTGCTCCAATGTCAAACTCGTGAAATAAGTGCACGATATTTGGAAATGAATCCAGCACCTTTGGATCTTAATACTGTATCAACAGTCAGACGCGAGGCTTTTTAGAGCAAAGCAGCAAATCTTTTATTTACACAGCTGTTTGACTCCAGGGAAAAATAAGGTAAGAAAGTAAAGCACTAGTACCATTTTACGAACCATTACAAACATACTCGTCATCTGTTACACACAGATGTCTGTGGTTCATGCGCACAACTTCTTACCTATTAGACCAGGCAAAAAGCAAAGCACAGGCAATGAGACAGAAACCTGTCGTGTTCAAAAAGACACAAAATATATGCCTATAATTATCTCTCCTTTTTCCTATAGTGATTAGAATAATTCTAAAATCTCTACTCTGGGCCTACTTTCACAGATGCAGAAAAACAAAGCAAGCTCTTCTTCAGGATACCTATAACTTAGATGTTCTACAACATTTCTCCTATTTCCTTAAATTAAGCCAACCATGCCGAATACCACAGATTAGATTCAACAGAAACAAACATCCCCTCCTCCAATTGCAAATAACCTTCCTAAAGTTTTAATGAATTTGATTATTCCAAAAAAGCAGCATAAAAGGCTTTTAAGAATGATGAACACATAATTTTATCAGAATGGGATAGAAATAAAATCCCAGTTCTCTTCTATATTCTCCACTTAGACGTGAGAAAGAATTATAATAAATCTCAACAGATGGGTGAACAAAAAGTAGTTAATGCTTCTCAGCAAACCACACTAAACCAACTAACTCAGCTAAACACAGGAAGTGTCCCTCTTTTAAACACCACAAAAATGTCTGTGGATTTCTTTAATTGTAAAGTTGATAAAATATAAAAATAGCTTGCATTATTCTAGGGTAATTCAAATGAAAGAATCATAAACTTCCAGACTGAGCCCTAGATCAGGTTTACATACTTAAATGCCAAATTAAATACTTCTGTATCTGTTCATTATAAACTGTTAGGACAGGGGAATTGAAAACTGATACATATAAGGTATGAATATTTTAAAAGTGTTTGACACTCCAAAAGAGGGAAAGACTAAAATTGGCTGGAAGGGTTTTCAACATTTCCAACCACTTTAAATTTAAATTTAAATTAATTAGACTAGTTCACTAATAAAAAAAAACTTGAACAAAGGTGAGGCTCAGAAATTTAGGATGAAAGTAATTCACCCCAAGTAAGTAGAAAGCCTCTCTTCAGTAAGGAAAAGAGAGCTTATAAATAATATAACTTCCACAGTGTATGACATATCTCCTACAGATACACATAACATCAAAAAGGAAAGATCCACAACAATCTTCAGGAATACCACTACAGGAATACTTCACTCCTTGCTTTCTTATTCCTATTGGCTAATTTCTTGCCTTGTTAGTTTAACCTGATTACACCTAGCAATGCAACACTCCAATATATCTAGGCTTTAGAAATAATACAAATCAGAACATTTAGAGTGCTGTTTGACAGTTTCAAGTTGCAGGAATTTAAAACAAAAGCCAGGAAAAACTAAGAAAACTTAATCTGATACTTAAGTGCTGACTCTAGAAGTAACTTTGAGGGGAAGCTTTCCACTATTTTACTATAAAATTTCTAATGCAAGTTTTCATTAACAACGTGGACAAAAACGTTTAAAAAAGCCTTAATACCTTACTAGTCAGTTCTGGTTTAAAAATTAACCTATGTTCTTATAAAGTGAATTTAACACCACGTTAGTTATTATTTTGGAAAATAAGAACTGTTTCTTAAGACTGTTTCGAAACACGATGTCCAGAATTGCTCAAAGTCCACACAAAGGTAAATACAGGCTTTGTCATTTGGATGAAGGGAAAGGAGTACGGGAGGCAGACAGAAAATAAGGCTTTATTGACACTAACCAGGTGGAAATAGAAAAAACTGGAGGAAGATGAACAAAAAACTTGCCAACGGCAATCCTCCTCCTCTGCTTCTCAGGTAACAGAGGAAAAACCACGAGGACAGGAGTAACAATGTCTAAACTTCTTCATCAAATAGGGGTCAGGGTTTCCAGTCCATACTAGGGTTAAAGCGACTCAGCACAGTCGCCGAGTTCAACACTCCGGGAACACTGCCCTTTCCTAGAATAACTGATTTCTTAACATGGCAATCTAAACTATTTTCACACGGAAAGGCAAAGTCGCTCAAATTTTAGGACAGACGAGCAAACGCCCTCTTTACATTTCGCGTTTCACCTGAAGCAAAGAGCCCGCAACACGGGTCTCCCCAGGGAGGTCCCTGGAGACACACGATTTCCAAACAGCCCTTCTTGGCAGGAAGGGACAAGAAAATGCGGCGGCAAACGCCGTCTGCTCCGCACTTGCCACAGTCCTCGGGAAAGGTAGAGGGAACACCACTCACCCACCCCAGAGGAGAAAGTTGCTCCAGAGCCCAAGGCTAGCAGCGCTCGCTACCAACTTTCCAGCGGCAGCGCGAGCGCCGTCACTTACCGGCGGCAGAAGTCATGATTTCCCTGTGCAGCTCGCTTCCCCCTCGCCCCCCTCAGTCCATGTTCCCCTTTCAGTCCATTGTTTCAAGAGTTTAAGCAAAAGAGAAAAGCCCCCGCGGTGCCCACATTCCGTCCCGCGGCCCCGCGGCGCAACCCGAGCGCCGCACAAAGGATGCGGTGGGCTCCAGGGACCCGGCCGCGCTCCCGGGCGCGAGCGCCGCCCAGCCGAGCTCCGGGCGGACGGCCAGGCGCGGGCACGAGCAGCGCTCACCGCGGCGCCGCCGGCGCGCGCCCCTCTCCAGCTCCAAAAAAAATCAGTGCTCCAGGCGCCCCCTGCAAGCGGCGGCTGTAAAAGGCGGACAAAAGCCCCAGCCTCCTCCAATCAGAAGGCTTGAGCTGCATCCCGCTCCCGCCCCTCCCACCCACACCCTCATCCTCTGCTCCAATAAGCGGGTCGGAAAGGGGGCGTGAGCTGCGAGGCATGCTGGGAATTGCAGTTTTCTAGACACACTGGACAGGCAGGAGCAGACGCTTGGGGGCAGCCTGTTCTCCCGCCTTCATTTCCCATCGTGCTGAGGCGGGTGGCATGGCGGAGAAGGATGACACCGGAGTTTGACGAAGAGGTGGTTTTTGAGGTAAGGGGAAAATGGCGGTGGGTGTGTGTTGTCTTTGTTTGAAAAGGAAGAGGAGGAAGGCGAGGAGGCAAGGCGAGGCTCCGGTCCGGGGCGAGGGATCGGGTGACTCTCCTGCCGGCCTCGGTCACGGAATCCCAGCGATTTCTGGGCCTGGTGTTGGCCGCAGCCTGACAGGTGTCCCCGAGGCGCCCTGGCTGCGGCCGGCCTCTGCCTCAGGCTCGCCCGGATTCCCAGCCTGGGCCCTGTTGCCAGGCCGGTGGACGGGAGCCCTGCCTGTTCCTCCCCCCGGGACGGATGCGCCGCGGGGGCACTGCGCCTGGCTGGGGCGGGGCCCAATCCTGCATTTTGGATACTCACTAATACAAGTTAGCCTCCTCCTTTTGCGTCCTCGATTTTTTGGGTCAGTATCCGGAAGAGCCTCAGGTCACTGTTCACAGGTGAGGCGTGGCCCTGCAATGAAGGCAGCAGGTGCCAATTTTCTAATACGGTTTAAAATCTGCCTGTGGGACCTACTGTGGGCGACTAGAGCCGGGGCTCTCAGCATCCAGGCTCAATTCTTTTGTCCTTTGCTATTGCGCTAGGTGTAGCCAGTTTTTCTGACTCGAGGCTCGGTGTGTGAGTGCTTTTGTGTGGGACTATTTTAAGACGTTCTCTGCCATCTTGAATGGAAAAAAACCAGGCGAGTGTTTTTGTTGCCATTTATCTATCAGACACAAGTGAAAGCTCACACCCCTGAATAGATGTATTGCATGTATGTATGCTTTACATACACTCATCCAACTAGATTTTAAGAAATTTTTAAAAAGAAATGTTCCATTCCGTACAATGGGAGAGCTAGACACTAATAGTACAGAATGACAAGTGTTGAAATATGTACAAACGTCATTGCGGGATTAATTTGGAGATGGCTCTCTGTACTGGTGGCCTCCGGAGAAGCTACACCCTGTAAATGATATCGGAGGTGAATCTTGAACTATGAATCGGATTAGAAAGACTTAAGGGAGAAAATGCATTATAGAGAAAGAGAACAGAGTATGCCAAGGTTGGGAGGTGTGAAAGTACCTGGTGTGGATTTTTCAGAGGCTTGAGTGTGGAGGGTCGCTATATAAAGTGGTTTGATGTGGCTAGAATGTGGAAGTAGTGGAAGATAGGGCCATTTTGCCTAAATGAAGAGTCTGGATTTGAGGAGCTCGCTAGGGAAGACACAGCGCCTGAATTTTGAAAGTGAGGGAAGAAATAATGGAATAATGGCTTGGACAGATAGTTCTAAGGTAAAATCGAGACAACAGTTGCAGGTTGAATGTGGGAGCGGAAGGAGAGACAAAAATCTAGATGGGTTAGATGTCTAGAGTAAGGGAAAATGGGTGGATGTAATTTTTTTTTTTACCCCGTTATTTTCTTAGATTTGTGAATATAATACTAATACATGTGCAAATAACATTTCATTGTAGAAAATAAGCCACGAAATTAAAACCATCCATTATCCTACTACCCAAAGAAGGCCACTATTGACATTATACCATATGTTGTTACAGCCTTTTTTTCTATGCAAATCCGTGTTTAAGTGTGTGATATTTTTTAACACAAAAGATACCATACCACATAGAATTTTGTATGTTTTTCACGTAAATTTATCATGAGCCTTTTCCTATTCATTACTCTTTGAAAACATTAATATCATAATATTCCATCATGTATGTATATCATAATATAACCATTGTACCATTATTGGACGGTTATATTGTTTCAAAATACTCACCATTGTAATCAACACTGACATAAGTCCATCTTTAACTGCAACTCTGATTTTTCCTTAGAATAATTTCTAGAAGGGAAACTAGTGGGTCAAAGGACATGGACATTTTTGTAAGACTTATGCAGAGTAGTTATACTAATTCACGTTTCCATTGGGAATAAGAGTATTAGTTTCACCAAATCCTCAGCAAGAACTTTATTGGTTTCCTTTAATCTTTGCTAATTTGATAGGGAAAAAATAGCATTCCATTGTTCTAACTTATTTTTGTGCATTTATTGGAGCCATTTTTATTTCTTTGCTTGAGCGTTTCTTTTCATATTTTTTGCCCATTTTCCTGTTGGATGCTAGCTCCTTAAAAATTGATTTGCATGAGTTCTTCATGTATTACTTAGCCTTATCATACTTGTAGAAAATTTTTTTCGTTGTGCTGTTTATTTGCTTTTTCTCATATAATTAAGTTTTATTGCAGTATATTATTCAGAAGAAAAGTGCACAGATCTTGAATGTGCAGACTGATGAATTTTTACATGTTGAACACACTCTTATAATCAGTACCCAGATCAAGAAACTGAAATCCCCAGCACAGCAGAAGCTCCCTCTTGCTCTGGGTCAGTCACTTCTCCACACCCCAAAGATAACCACTATTCAGACTTATAGTAACTAACTTAAGATTAGTTTTGTCTGTTTTTATAGTATACACACATTTATATATGCTCTTTTTTGTCTGACCATTTTTGCTCTCTGGCTTTGTTTGTTAGATTCATTCATATTGTCATGTGAGCATTTTTTATTTCTCTGTAGTATTCCATGTGAACATATGACAATTTTTTAATCCATTCTACTGTTGACGGTCTTTGGGTAGTTTACATTTTGAGACTATTATGAATAGTGCCACTCTGAACCTTTTAGTATATGTGTTTTGTTGAACATATTTCTGTTGGGTATATATACTTAGGAGTGGAATTGCTGAGTCATAGGTAATGCATATAGTCGTCTTTTGTAGATATTGCCAAACATTATTCCAACACAGTTGTACCAATTTATACTCCCACCAGCAGCGTATGAGAGGTCCCGTTGCTCTACATCCTCACCAATACTTGCTAATTTCAGTCTTTCTTTTTACCATTTTGGTGAGCGTGTACTGGTATCTCCTTTTGGCTGTAATTTGCATTTCGCTGATAAGGAAATTGAGAGTCTTTTTATATGTTTATGAATCAGTTATATGTCCACTTTTTTTTGTGAGGAGATTGGCCTTGTGCTAACATCTGCCAATCCTCCTCTTTTTTTTTTGTTTTTTTTGCTGGCCCTGAGCTAACATCCGTGCCCATCTTCCTCTACTTTATATGGGACACCGCCACAGCATGGCTCGACAAGCAGTGCGTCAGTGTGCGCCCCGGATCCGAACTGGCGAACCCCAGGCCAACCCCGGGCCGCCGCAGCAGAGCACGTGCACCTAACTGCTTGCGCCACCGGGCTGGCCCCTGTGTGTCCACTTTTGTGAAGCCAATTTAAGTTTTCTGCATATTTTTGTTGTATTATCTCTTTTTCTTACTGATTTGAAGGAATTCTTTACATATACTGGATATAAGTCCTTTGTTGGATATATACCTCAAATATCTCAGAATGTGTGTGGCTCTCTCTTAATAGTGTCTTTTCAATGAACAGAAGCTCTTAACTTTGTTATAATCCAATTAAACATTTTTCTTTTATGGTTAGTGCTTTTAAAGAAATATTTGCCTACTCTAAGGTCACAAAGATATTTTCTCTAAAAGCTTTATTTTACCTTTGGCATTTAGATCTGCCATCCATCTGGAACTGATTTTTATGTGGTACCAAGTAAAAGTCAACATATTTTTTCCCACGTGGATGTCCAATTAACCTGGCATTGACTGAACAGACCACTGTCCTCTCCCCACTGAAGTGCAATGTTGCCTTTGTCATAAATCAGGATACCTTGTATGTGTGGATCTGTTCTGGATGCTCTCTTCCTTTGGTCCATTTGTCCATTCTTCTACTAATACCACATTATTTTAATTACCATAACTTTCTTTTTTTATATATATATATAATTTTATTTATTTATTTATTTTTCCCCCGAAGCCCCAGTACACAGTTGTATGTCACAGCTGCACATCCTTCTAGTTGCTGTATTGGGACGCGGCCTCAGCATGGCCAGAGAAGCAGTGCATCGGTGCGCGCCCAGGATCCGAACCGGGCCGCCAGCAGCGGAGCACGGACACTTAACCGCTAAGCCACTGGGAGGCCCTACTATAACTTTCTAATAGGTCTTAGTGTCTGGTTGTTACCGCGCCAGGTCCATTTTTGCCCGCCGCTCAGAAAGTCAATCACCGAGACGACGAGATTGCAGAGAGAGAGGGTTTAATCACAAAGCAGCCAAATGAGGAAAGCGGGAGAACGAGTCTCAAATCCTCCTCCCCGCAAATAGGGACTCAGGGGTATTTATGGAGAAGGGGGCAAGGTGGTCTGAAATGATTGGAGCTGAGGGGAGATGAGGTAATTGATGATCTGTGCAAGCGTAGTCAGGCTTCATGTCTCTTCGGAGGACACATGTTCACAGAATGGCGGCATTAGCATGCCCTGAGGGTGGGGTTCCAACCTCTTGCCATCAGAAGGGCCCTTGCCTGGGCCCTTCTGATGGCCCAGTTGATGGGTTGGTGGTCTCAATCAGGCCTGAAGTGGACAGGGGGTTCAGTTCCTGAAAAAAATAGCTCAAACACCCATTACCATGGTAACCCAGGCTCCAGGGAGATGTCATATATAGGAACCTAGTGGGAAACAGATAGCATATTGCCCAAACTGCATAGTTAACAATGAGTAAGTTTATCGTGCAGATTTAAATCCTCACCTTGCATTCTGATAAGTTTCTAGGTAAGGCCATCCCCCCCTTCTTCCTGGTACAGGGAAGAAGATGCCTTTACAAATGGAGATTTTTCTTTACAAATGTAAATGTATCCTATAAAGGGTAGCCAGAACTAAGAATGGGCTTAGCACGACCCACCCAGGTACCCCACCCACCCAGGTACCCAACCCACCCAGGTACCCAGAGATGTCTGTGGTGATGGCCTTTTCTGGGGGCAGGCCTCCCATCCCAAACTCCTTTGGTCAGTTAGTGGGGTTAGGGGTCAAAATGTCATTCAGGCAGAGACATATTTTGAGCTGGAAAATTCCAATCCCCTGTAGTTACTACTAGCGCTTAGTCAATGGCTGTTTGCTGGTTTCATGG